TGCCGTGCCCCGCACTCCCGCCCCGCAGGCCCCGTGGCTATTCCAGCCCTGGGCTCCCCGCACACAGCTCTGCCGTGCCCCGCACTCCCGCCCCGCAGGCCCCGTGGCTATTCCAGCCCTGGGCTCCCCGCACACAGCTCTGCCGTGCCCCGCACTCCCGCCCCGCAGGCCCCATGGCTATCCCAGCCCTGGGCTCCCCGCACACAGCTCTGCCAATGCCCCTCATTCCCACCCTGCAGGCCCCGTGGCTATCCCAGCCCTGGGCTCCCCTCACACAGCTCTGCCGTGCCCCGCACTCCCGCCCCCCAGGGGCCTCGCTGAATTAACTGAGCTTTGGCGCAACGGCTCAGTGCTCTGCGCGATTCCGAGGGCCCGACAGTGCCGGAGCAGGGGTCAGTAGATGGCATTTCAAAGAACCAGGCTTGGCATGGATTTCCCCAAGGCAGCAGCTTCTCCTGGCTCTCGATTGATATCCATAAATATTTAATGTTCAGAAGTTATGCGTCAAGCCGTGATGCTGAGAGCTGGGCTCTGGCCGCTGTGCGATCCTGACATTCCCCAGCATCAGCAACCGGGGAGCAAACGGGGCTGCCTCGGCCTCTGCAAAGTCCCCAGTACTGGGACCGGAAGGGCACCAGATAGACTGGCCAGCTCTGTGGAAATGGAAACGTTGCGCCGGGTGTTAAACATGTCGGAGCGTCTGCCCGATGAGTTTGTTTTGCACTGTGGTGCAGAGGCACATTGTCCTGAGTGATGTTTGGGGGCTGGGGGGGGAGGGCAGGGTGAGCACTGCGGGGTTTGTGATTGGCAGGGTGATTGGGAAGGATGAGTTGGTTGGTGGTGGCTAGAGAAACCTGAGAGTGCGACGCACATGCTGGACTATTTACCTGACAGCTCTGCTGATGCCCCTCACTCCTGACCCGCAGCCCTCCTGCTATTCCAGCTCTGGGCTCCCTAACACCCAGCGCTGCCTGCACCCACAAATCTTGACCTCACTGCCCCACCATCTGCCTTCAGTCCTGGGCTCCCCTCCCGCCCAGCCAATACCGCTCCACATTGCAGAGATTTCTGACAGCCCAGAACGTGTCGTGTCATCGTCCCTTCAGAAATGAGCCCGTGCCACCAGGGGCCTTCCCCAGTGCGGGGCTGCCAGGACCCTGGTTAGGGAGTGGAGCACGCCTGGCCCCTCTCACTTTGCCAGTACCCCTCAGCCCAGGCCTGGCTCTGCTTCGGTCTGCTGTGCTCTGTGGCGCGTCAGGGACGGGGACAGAGCTGCACAAAGGACCTGGCTGAAGTGACTGGATTAATTTCCCTCGAGGGCTGGATTCTCCTGAGCAGGTGCAGGAGGAATCGCTCAGCTGGGCTGGTGGGGGCAGCAGCAGGGCAGGGACCTGTCGGTGGGATTGGCAGGGGAGCTGGCACTCAAGGGCAGAAGGGAGCAGGGAGGGGATAAAAGGTGGAGCCTGGAGAAAGCAGCAGCCCAGAAAGGTTTGCACCAGCGCATCCAGCCTTTGGGGGAGGTGCCAGGGGCGTGACGGTATCAGAGTGTGTGGGGTGGGGGAGCAGGTGGCATCCAGTCTCCTGTTCTCTGCCAGGGTTGTGTGTGTGTGCCCAGAGCTCATCTTCATTCTGCCTGGCATCGCTCGGCTAAGTGTCGCCCTGTGGCGTGTGGTTCAGGGGGGTTGGCATTCGGGTGACACCCAGGATGGGCCAGCTGGGTTCTTGTGCCAGTCCCTGCTCTCCCCCACCCCGCCAGCCCCCAAAGTGCTTGTGCTCTGTGCCCACCAGAGGAGAGCTGATTGCCTGCTGCATGACAAGTGCAAAAGGGATGGTGGGCGAACCACGCTGCTAAATCACTGACCACCCCTACCCCTGCCACGGTCAGCCCCCACCATGGTTTCTAGTTTGTGGAGAGGGGCAGTCTAGTGGCTCTGCAGGGAGAAGGGGGAAAGAACAGCAAAGAGCCTGGGACGGAGACAAATTCTGCGTGGTTAAAACTCCACCTGCACTGATCAGACATCAGAACCGGAGCTAGCCTCGTGCTTCAGGTGCCAGAGGTGTGTGTGTGTGTGTGTGTGTGTGTGTGTGTGTGTGTGTGTGTGTGTG